TTTCAGCTGCTATGTGTGGGAGTACAGAAGACTAATGGTAGGTTGATAAAAGGTTGGGTATACTTGGTGTGGGTCTGATGGAAGGATAAAAGATTGAGGAGTGCTGGGGATATTAGGCAAAAATAATTGAAGTAATCAGCTGTAGAGTCTTTGAATAGGAAGTAAGGTCAGGATGGGGGCTGTTAGCCTGTGAAAAGAGAGAAGTGATAGGATTGTTAGTCTTGGTAAAATTGATAAGTGAGCATAGTTAGGGTAAAAGAGTTAAGCTGTTTAATGAAAGAGGTCAGAGAGTGATGTGTTGGAGTTAGAGTGTACTCAGTCAGTGTGAGTTGAATTGATGAATCAAAAGGTGGAGCAGCATGGAATAATGATGACAGCCATGGAGCAGGTTGTTGAAGTTAAGCAAAGGTGATGGTCATTGAAAATAAAATTACTGAACTATGAAGCCTAAGTTGTTTGATGTGTCCAATTACCTCTTGGATGTTGATGTTACCAGTGTAACAATAGAAGTTAGCACAGTGAGAAATAATATTTTTAATCAACGTGGGGAAATGAGCGGAGGTGAGTACATAAAGAATAGTGTTTTACTACTTTAGATTCTCTACTTGCAAGTAACAGAAATTAGCTCAAACCAGCTTAACTAATAAGAGGAAATTGTTGTGAGCATATGAGTAGGACTCAAACCCAGTAATATAGCCAGCTATCAGGAAGGGACTGGAGCCTGGACCTGGAAAACTATTTAGAACCTAGTTTCTGCTCTTTGTTCTTATTTTTTCATCTTTGCTTTACTCTCCTATTTCTGTCTCTCTCCTTTTGTGTCATTTATCTCACTGGCTTTGTCTTTTAAGAATGGCTCTTTGGGGGTCCCTGGGTGGCTCAGTGGTTAAAGCCTCTGCCTGCGGCTCAGGTCATGATCTCAGGGTCCTGGGATCGAGCCCCGCATCGGGCTCTCTGCTCAGCGGGGAGCCTGCCTCCTCCTCCTGTCTCTCTCTGCCTGCCTCTCTGCTTACTTGTGATCTGCCTGTCAAATAAATTAAAAAAAAAAAAAAAAAGAATGGCTCTTTGTTATTCCTTGTTTACCTGGGTGCTTATAATTATCCTATATCTTCTGAACTTACATGTTGTAATTTTAGCCACATGCAGAGACTCTCTGAATCCTAATTCCAGGTTGTCAGAAGAGAGAATCCGGTTGGTTCAGATTGAGTTAGTGGTTTGCTTATGCTCCCATCAACTTTGGCTGGAGTGGGATGCTATCTTGTAATGTTTTATAACATCGCTGTTAGGGTCCTGTCTTCACAGCTCTTCAAGAAAGCTGTTGTGCCACCAGCCGCAGTGGATGTCTCCTGTACCACAGTCGAGTGGTATAGCTGAATGGAGTTGTGTAAATGGAAATGAAAGAAGAACTTTTGAGAGTCCAGGAGAGCAAGTGAAGATACAGGAGAATGGTTTATACTGCCCCCCCATGGGACTTGGGCAGTGGGCCAATGAATCGCTTTTCCTTATGAGAGAAGTGGTCTCCTTGGTGAAGAGTTAGTTCTTAGTTAAGACATAAGGGGATAGGGTATTCATGAAAAAGGTTGAGGTAATAGGGTAGGTTATTTATGAAAAAGAGATCCCAGGGTTTATATTGAAACTGTTTGGGAAGGTGATTGGTGATAAGATGAACCAGAGAGAGAGGGCTCCAAAGCAGTGAGGATAGGACCATCAAAGAGGAAAGATGAGGGGCTCCTGGATGGCTCAGTGGGTTAAAGCCTCTGCCTTCAGCTCAGGTCATGATCCCAGGGTCCTGGGATCGAGCCCCGCATCGGGCTCTCTGCTCAGCAGGGAGCCTGCTTCCCCCTCCCTCTCTCTCTACCTGCCTCTCTGCCTACTTGTGATCTCTGTCTGTCAAAAAAAAAAAGGAAAGATGACTGGAGACTTGATTTTGGATGATGTCAACAGTATGGTTGACAGGCATGAGAAGTATAGATAAAAGTAATTGGCAAATTAATGGTTGGAAAACTTTCATTTTCCTGTTATTTCCATCTGAGTTGAAGGTAGTTAACAGAGGCAGTCCAAGCGTGACTAATTTTTGTGGCTCCATCTCAAAGCAGTGAACTTATTTTGGCTTGAGACTTTATTTTTGTTAGCATTCCCCTTTCTTGACTATGGTTTGAAGTGATGGACTCTTGTAGTGAATTCTGATAGTTCCATTTGGGTTTTTAACAGTTGCACTGTACTTGGCCCTCACTTTCCTGACACCTTTGTTCATCTTTTGAGCACATGCTATTATTGATTTGGAGGAGTATGACTAACAGTTATGTTGCTTGCTCCTTTGAATCAATGTCTGGGATCATGTCTTTGAAAAAACCTATTAGTGCATTTTCTTCATTTCTAAAATATCCTTGTTACACATAACATACATACTTGCTTACTCATTCTCTACCACACACACCTTTTATGTGTAATTTGCACACCCGCCCCATCTTCTCTAATGGTTTTTTCAGTTTTCCTCTAACTGATCACTGATTCCTTTTGTCCTTTTTTGTGGTAGCCGTATGAATTTCCATTTTAAGCCTGGCAGACTCTGTTAATGAAATATACCTGTTTCATCTTAAGCATACGTTATCTTCTTTTCACTTTTGAAATTTCTTTATTCCCACAAACTGAAATGGTAGTTTGTTAAAAAGTGAAAGTAAATGTCAAAGACTTTGAGTCTCAGTTATAGTACTTTTGAAAATAGTTCCAGACTTAAGACATTGCTGTTTAGATTTAGTGATACTTTTAGAAATTACTGTGTAATTTTGAATAATATAAAATACTTTTGTCAGAAGAAACTTGTAATGACAGTGAACAGCAAATTAAGTTGAAAAATTACTAAGCAGATGGGATCCCTGGGTGGCTCAGTGGGTTAAGCATCTGCCTTCGGCTCAGGTCATGATCCCAGGGTCCTGGAATCGAATCCCACATTGGGCTCTTTGCTCAGTGGGGAACCTGCTTCTCCCTCTGCTTGCTGCTCCCCCTGTGTGTGCATGTGCTCTTTCTCTCTCTGAGATAGATGAATAAAATCTTAAAAAAAAAAAAAGTTACTAAATAGTATTTGTGTAAAAAGTGCATAATTCTTAGTGTTTTTTAAGGACCTATTCCTACCATTTTTTGCTTAGTAATAATTATTGCAGAAGAAAGTAGGGGAAGATAAAGTAAACAAGAAATGGATGCATTGTAGGAAAGATCAAAGAAGAAGAAATATAAATGGATGAGAGGCATTTGCTAAATGATTAGGGTTTAAACATGCTTAATAGCTAAATATGTACTTAGGCTGAATATTTATTTTGTTAAATTAAAAAAAATTTTGTTTGTTCAGCTGCATAGAATTATTAAAATATTTCTAGTAATACTGTGGAAGAGTGCTTGGTGAATGTTGATCATATTCCAGTGTTTTAGTCCTTTTCATTACTTGTTACAAAAAGAAGTAGTGTTTATGTTTTAGGAATAATTTATGCTAGTTGCCCTTGCTTTTCAGAAATTATCATTGATTTCTTAACCTCCCTCAGGAATTACATGCTCATGAGTAAACCTTCTTCCTGTAAAACTTAAAAAATCTTATGCTATTAGTCCCTTCAGAATAAAGATGTTGAAAATTGAACTCTGAATGCTTTTTCTTTTTAATTAGAATATACAGGATATAACTTTTTAAGGATATTGCCGTTATCTGAGTACCTCAGGTACTAAATATACAAAAATATTTTGTGAACCTGGTTCTTTTTCTCTTTCTGTAGTTACTATATTTAATGGTTGCATGGTTCTAAAGCAGAAATTTTAGTGGTTGGTAAAAAGGGGTGATGGCGTAATGCAAATGGTACTCCTTAATCTTTTGGCTCATAAAGTCTTTAAAGTATGCTTATTTAAGGAGAGTTGATGACATAATTATAAAAAGTGATTCAGAATTAGGGGCAAAAAGTAGAACTAGTGTCTGGTGGATTGACTCAGGACTCTTCTAGATTTGACAGGGACGCATGTGGACGAAATACCATGTTCTTTTTTTTCATTCCTAAGTGGCTCGAGTTGCCAAATCTGTGCCAGAAGGTTGATCATTGCAGCTTGTAGACCATATTTTTTATTCCTTAATTACGTTAACAGCTAGAGTTGTTTTATGGATTTTTGAGTCTGATGCCAGGCCTTTTATGGGTCTGAAAGTAATTGTAGCATGAATCTAGACTGTATTTTTAGTCTTTAAAATTTCCAGGAGTGTTCTGTATTTATTTGATATATAAATTCTCCATCTGCTTCACTTCTCTGTGATATTTTAAAAATATGCTTGCTATGAAATACAATAAAACACTTTATGTAGTTCTGAGTTCAAAAATTTAGATTAAAAATTCAGTGATGAGTAATAGTGTTTGTTACATCCAATGACTGTAGTTTAGCCATTTTGTCTACTGTTACACTCTTATTCTAGTTTACACAGGTATGTATTGTGGATGTTTATCCCTTTAAAATCCATACTCCATCCGTGGTACAGCTCCTCTCTCTGTCCCCAGTTAGAATCATTAGTGAATGGTATACTGTAGACCTGGGTTCAGATTCTATTTTTACCTCCTGAATAAATTGCATATAGTCTCATTTACTTATTTGTAAAATAAATAAAATCTGCTTTTCAGAGCTGTTATAAGGATTTAAGAAAATGTTTGTAGAATGTAGAATGTCAGAGCCTCTGCTTAGCTCTGAGTAAATGGTAGGTAAGTTATTATTGCTGTTATTAATAAGTAGTAACCATGGAGTGCTTTGGCAATATGATATAGACATTAGGCTGTATATGTACATTGTAAAACCTGTGATGGATTAAGGAAAGCAAATGTGCAGTCAATCCCAGAGGGATTTTATAAAACTTTCTGGAGCAGACCATTTCTGTTTCATATATTTGCAGACTTGTGAAAATAAGCAAATCTATTTCTCAGTCTGGTCTTTGTGAATAGATTCTGAACATTAACAGAATATTTTTCTCTTCCTTTTATCTTAAGGGTGCTATTTTCCTGGAAGGTGTAACTGTTAAAGGTGTGACTCAAGTAACAACTCAACCAAAGTTAGGAGAGGTACAGCAGAAGTGTCATCAATTCTGTGGCTGGGAAGGGTAATAAACATTTTCAAGTTTTAAATAAAACTTGTATTGTGCAACATTTAACATTAATGCAGATGTTGACTTAGCTTCTTTGTTCTTTGAAGTTTGAATATTTACCTAGAGTGCTTAAAAAGATATCAAGCAAGAGTTTATCAGATTTTTCTCATGATCAACAATTGAATTAAAATTAGACTACTAGAAAAAACAAAAACAAAAAACAAAAAAAATTAGATAACTAGACAGTTGAGTCAAGATTAAATGACTCAAACATGTCTTCCTAACTGAACACAAAATTATTTTTGTCACTATCTAGTATTTGTTTTGTGTGTTTAATTCTGTTGCTGATTAATGATTGGGTTGCCCATATCATTTTACTAAGGGAGAAGAAGTGAGTCTTGAAGACTTGAATGTACCTCATTTTCTAGTTTTTCTGTAATCCAGTTTTCTGAGACCTAGGGGAATCAGCTTTAATTATGTTTTACCCCCTACCATGACTTGAAAATATTTATCAGACATTTCATGGGAGGGGATTCTGGAGAGTTCACGGCTCCGCTCTCAAGTCTTGGTCTTTGGTCGTTTCTGTTGGTCATAGCCATCTGTGGCAGAAAATTATAGCACAGCTAGAACATGATGAAACAGGATCGATAATTCTTAAAAATTCCTAATATAAAGAACTTTTTCACTGGTATATACAGATCAGTTAGCTAGAAATAATTTTAACTAAAAGATTAAAATGATGATGAAGTAATATTGATTTTAATGTTGTGCTAAGCCCTTGCCAGTGTACTTTAATCTTGACCTATATTTCTCCTGTTTTGTCACTTCTGGGCATCTTTTAAGCAGAATTTTGCCAGCCTTTTGGAGTTTTGCCAAGTTGGTGGAGTCATGATAGAGGAATATGGGATCTAGAATAATGTAAGATAATTAAGGCAAGCAAGATTTAAACTTCTTCTTGCAGTAGAAGATTTGTAAACATACCTACTTTACTATTAGATCATGAATTTAATATTTAAAAAGCCCAGTGGTTATGGTATATAGTGGCAATTAGAATCTTGTTAACTTGAGTCTGAAATGTCTAGAAGATAATAGATAATATTTTGTTAGCATTCTTGGGAATGTTGATGTTCCAGTTGACATTAATCTCATGATAGGGAGAATGTTGTGATAAATGTATGACTCATGTGAGATTGGTTTGAGATGTATTGCTTTGTATGGGTGCCAGCTATAATCGTAATAAAATGTTCTTCTTTAAGGTCTGGATTCCCTGGAGCACAGCCTGTTTCCATGGACAAGCAAAATATTAAACTTTTGGAGCAGAAGCCATATAAAGTAAGCTGGAAAGCAGATGGCACTCGGTAAGTTAGACTTCTAAATAAAGTTATACAAATAACTCTAATGCTTGAAGAATACTGCTTTGTTGTTAGACAAGGTTTGTACTCTTGGGAGTGTGAATTTCTGACTTGAACAGCAAAATAATCATGTTTCAAATATCATCATTTTTATTTTACAAGTATTCTTAGTTATGTAATTCAGTTTCTCTCATTCTGCTAAATTTCTGGTTTCAGAGTTTTTTTTTCTCTTTTGCTTTTTAGAAGATTTTATTTTTCAATAATCTCTGCAGCCAGTGTGGGCTCCAGCTTACAACCTGAGATCGAAAGTTGCATGCTCCACCCACTGAGCAGCCGGGCGCCCACCAGAGTTCTGTTAGTTTGACTTAGTCTATACCGAATTGAAGTTTGAAAGTGTTTTCTCTTGATAATATTGTGCTTTTTGGTATGTCTGGTGCCCATCACCTTATGTTTAGTGGTTGTTGAGCACTTCTGAAACTAACAGATGTGTTGTCAGTTTATAATCTAAAAATTGCCAAGTCTCCTTGATATCTTATTCCTTAGAATATTTTGTTCTGTATTTTGCTCCTTTAAATAGTTTTTCTCTTAATCTTTGCTAATACTTTTTGTAATTTTATGACCTCTTAAGGGTGTTTTATTCTTACAACAAAGCTTAGCTTCAGGTTTCATATTCCTATACTTTTAAATTTTATTAGTATAAATTTTATGCTTCCTCAACATTTAACTTTTCTTTCTCTTTTGTAAACATATTTTTATAGCTTTGCCATATGTATTTTTTTATTCGGCAAATGTTCTAATAGTTGAAGTAATTATTTTAACAGATGTTAATGTTAGCTTTTTCCTATTAATTTTTTCATAATGAAAATGTTTCAGAGAATTAAGATAGCATTTATATAGTTAGCTTTTTCCCCAGCTTTATTGAGATACAATTATAATATTATGAGATTCCATTATAACATTATTGAGAATTTATTGAAGATAAATTTATTGAGATTTCATTATAACATTATGGAAGTTTAAGGTGTATAATGTGTTGATTTGAACACTTAAACATATTGTAAGATGATTACTGTTAGCTAACACCACCATCACTTCACATAATGACCATTTCTTTTTTGTGGTGAGAATATTTAAGGTATGTTATCTTAGCAACTTTCAGGTGTACAGTACAGTATTATTTATTATAATCACTATGATGTACACTAGGTCCCTGGAACTTATTTTTGTAATTGGAAGTTTATATCCTTTGACCAGTTTCTCCCCATTTCTTCTACCTTCTCCGCCCCTGGTGATTACCAGTCTAGTCTCTGTTTTTATCAGTTTTTTTTTATTTTTTTAAGATTCCATATGTAAGTGATACATAGTATTTGTTTTCCTCTGACTGACTTATTTCACTTAGCATTATGTCCTCAAGGTCCATCTGTGTTGTAAATGGCAGAATTCCTTCTTTCTCATGGTTGAGTACGATTCCATTGTTTATTTATGTAGTACATCTTCTTTCTTCATCTGTTGATGGTCATTTAGGTTGTTTCCGGATCTTGGCTATTATGAATAATGCTGCAATAAAAATGAGGGTGCAGATATTTTTTTGAGATGCAGTTTTCACATTTGGTTTTTAAATGTTATTTTGAAGATAATATAGGTTGCACTTAATTTTTGTGAGGAGTTTTTGATGTCAAAATGGCAATTACACCTTTCATATCATGTTATCTTCTGCATTTTGCTTGGGGTGACCTTAAAAGATACATATGAAGATATGGAATGGGGCAGATAGAACTTGATTTTAATATTAGGTGAATATAATGATACTATTTCAACATGATACGCTTTTTAGTAGTTACATTTTTTTTTTTAATAGGGAATATATCGAAATATTTTCTTTCATTTGTCGGTCTTTGTTGGAAATCATCTTTCCTTTCAACTCAGCATTTTTGCGGGGGGGATTTGTAGATAACACAGGTTCGTGAAACAAAGTTCAGAAAATAACATAAATGAAAAGAAGAAAATAAAATTAAAGAGTGATTTTATCACCTAGAAGTAACCATTACCATCATTGTGGTCTTGATTTTATTCTTTTGGTTAGAAAGCAGTTTTATTGGGGTGCCTGAGCTCCAACATGTTGGCTTAATCAGTAGAGAGCATCTGACTCTTGATTTCAGCTCAGTCTTGACCTTAGGGTCGTGAGTTCAAGTCCTGCATTGTGTTCCACACTAGGCGTGGAACCTACTTTAAAAAAAAAAAAGCAGTTATATTAACACTTCATATAGTGAATGCAAATAGTTAAACAATAAGTATGTTTTATATATGCTTATTTTTTCATACTATTTTGAATTTAAAAATGAACTGATCTAAAAAAATTAATATTAATACTTGATAAAATTTTAAGCCGTATAGAGACATAAAATAATAAAGTTTGCCTTGTGTGTTCTAGGAATATTCATTCTACAAGGATGAATCTCTAAGGATGAATACAGTTAAAGATTCAGATAGAGACAGTTGGGATAATGTGTCCCTTCTATGCCCTCCTCCCTATGAATGTATATTTTTGAAGGATAAATAAAAATTAACTTGTTGCTTATTTTCAGAATGTTAAAATTATATTTAATTTTTTAGATTAGAATAAGTTTATAATCTATTAAATTGGTAGTAAGGATTAGCAGAAGTTAAGTTGTTGATGTGTGTGTGTGTTTATGTGTTTGTGTATTTTTTTTTTTTTTTTTTTTAAGTAGGCTTCGTGCCCAATGTGGAGTCCAGTGCAGGGCTTGAACTCATGACCCTAAGATCAAGACCTGAACTGAGGTTGAGATTTGAATACTTAACTGACTGAGCCACCTAGGCACCTTGATATATAGTAGCTGTGTAACAATGTCTTAAGGTTTATTAATAGATATTTAATATTGTAACAGTGTCTAAGGTTTATTACCTACCTCTGAGTGGAGAAGCAGTGAAAAAGGTGAGGAGCAAAGATGCCCATCTCCAGACTTGATACTATAAATGGCCTGGGGATTTGGGAGTGAGACATAGTTTTAATCTGATGAATTTCATATTCTGGATATTTTTTAACTTCTACCTCGTTTTCTCCATGATATTCAGCCTGTGATCATGGCAAACCTTGGGCAAAATAACAGTCTATAAAATTTGTCATTTGTAGTCCCCCATCCTATCTTTGTTTATTTTCCCTTTTCTGAGAATTTTTATACCCCTTGCCCCATGTCTTCTCAGTACTGTCAGACCTCTAAATGATTAGCTACAGTGATTTGAGCTAAAATCTTTCGACTGATAATTGAAATACCTCTTTTCTCATGGAACTGTGCTCCACCAAAACAAAAGGAGACCCTTTTAGTATTTATTTGATACCTACTCTGTCTTAGGATACTTTATTCTGTGAGGAAAAACATTTATGTGAAATATTTTTCTGGACCAGTGCCAGATCTTTCTTTTGCACAGTAGGATTGAAGGCCAATAGCACGGGAGAGGGACTAACTGTGATCTATAGGGTGAAAAGAGCCCCAGGGAGCTGTAGAATGATCTAGGAGCGCATGGAGTTAAGAGTAACAGATTAAAAGCCATGAACACTTGATGCTAATTTATCGATTTATTTATTTATTTATGTTTTATTTTTTAAAAAATTGTTTTATTTTTAATTAACATATAATGGATTACTGGTTTCAGAGGTACAGTCTGTGATTCATCAGTCTTATATAATATCCAGTGCTCATTATGTCACATGCCCTCCTTAATCTATTTAATTTATTTTTAAAAGATTATATTTATCTATTAGAGTGAGAACATGTGCCGGGGATGAGAGTGGGTGGAGAGAAGGGACAGAGGGAGAAGCATACTCCCCACTGAGCCGTTACCTTGGTGGGGCTTGATCCCAGGATGCTGGGATCATGACCTGAGGTGAAGGCAGACGCTTAACCTACTGAGCCACCCAGGCACCCCTATTATTTTTATCTTTTTAGTAGTCTGCACACCCAGCTTGGGGCTTGAACTCAGGACCATGAGATTAAGAGTCATATGCCCAGGGCGCTTAGGTGGTACAGTTGGTTGTGTCCTACTCTTGGTTTTGGCTGAGGTTGTTATCTCAGTGTCCTGAGATCAAGCCCCTCTTCTGGCTCTACGCTTGGGATTCTCTCTCTCTCTCAATTTACTCCTCCCACTCATGCTCTCTGTCTCTCTCTCAAATTAATAAATATGTCTTAAAAAAGAAAAAGTCTAATGCTTACCAACTGAGCCTCCCAGGTGCCCTACTTCTTATTTAAAGCCATGTTGTGATGGATGTGGGACTCTTTTTATTATCCTTATTCCATAGTTTATTGGCTCTTTATTTACTGTATTTAGGAACAGTATTTAGATAAAAGGATTTCTGAAATTGAATGTAATATGAGACCTGGATAGAGTTAGCAATAAAAGGTATTGCCTAGGAATTTTGATTAGCCTGGCCAAGGCCTGGGGGCAACAGTGACAGTTTTGCAGATTCTAAAACGTTGTAGAAGAGGGTCTATTTCCTAATTGTAAAGCCAAATTATATAGATAGAAATACAGAATTGCTTAAAAATAAAACAGTAAGAGATTTATATTAGTTATATAGGTGAATTGATTAAACACTAAGCCACTATAGTCTCAGATACAGGTGAAATCATTTTGTTTAATTGAAGATTTAATAGTTGTATGTCTTACATTTCATTAAAATCAGCTTTTAGAAATGAGATATCTCTTATCACAGCACACTATTTCTGTCATACCACTTTCCATTATCAGAAGTAACTTTTTCCTTTCTAATAATTTTGCTTTTGTATCTCCTGCTATATTGTAAGCTTCACAAGATCAGGGAGCAAGTCTGTCTTTTGTACCTTTATTATCAGTGGTAATCAGCAAGTCCTTATACTGGTAGATATTGAATGATTTGAGTGAATGAATAGTATTGACAGTGTTTTATGCTCTTGAGAGATCTGTAGCTTCGGTTGATTGAAATTTTCATTTTTTTGTACTTTTTCTCTAAA